AATTGCACTACTTTTTGTGTTGTGTGGTTGGCCCGTTCAAGAGTCATCCTACTAAGGGCGCAAACGTTCGCGACATTTTAATGGTGCTCATCCCCTGTCATATTTTTTAAAGCTCAATACCTTAAAAGGAGCCGGAAAGGCTTCTGCTATGAAAGTTTTGTGGCTGAACTCCCTTAGAAGGTACCAAAAACGCTTTTTTAAACCCCTACAAGGGACGATTTTTATATGGGAGTATCTCCCCGCCGGGGCATCTTTGGTCAAACAGTGCCGACAAGATTGCGTGACACTTTTGATAACTTCCATGAAATCTTTTCACGTCCAATCCCTGGTCCTCCACAAAAACCCTTGAACAGCAGAAGACCTCTTCCTTCCGTTAAAGTGCCTATGGAGTAAAAAATAATCGCTGCTTACTTGAAAGGCTTTTCAAAGTATAGAAAAATGGCGTTTTCCTTTTTGGAATATCTTGTTTCGTTTAAAGATATTCATCTTTTTGGATTATGCAAATGAGGAAAGTTATAACGTCATAGGTGGTTCCACGTAAACAGAACAACACTCAATCGAAAATTACTCTAGGAGTATTAACGAAGTGTCCTTAAAACTTGGCATCAGCAATGTACATCACAAAACAAACAGATTGACACCTACTATGTTGTTGCCATGGCAACACTCTTGGCTCCAGTCTCTTTCTGTGAAAAATCAAATATCAAATATATTTCCAACCTTTTAAAGTAGGACAGAGGCTCTTGCACGGAACACACATGGTTCTCATATTGTCTTCCCCATTAGATTGTTGTGAGTGGATGATCCTTGTTTAAGTTAAAATCTGGGAATTTTCTTCTTAATTAAAACAGAACTAGCGGCATAACTGTTGTCATGGCAACGGCACGACGCATGTCATTATGTTTCTTTTGTGATGTACTTTTCTGGTGCCAAGTTTAAAGAACACTGCTTTAATATTTCTAGAGTTATTCTCGATTGAGTGTTGTGCTGTTTTAGTGGAACCACCTATGACGTCATCACCTTTATCATTTGCATAATACAAAAATCTAAATATCTCTAAA